TTTTATTAATGTAGTGTATTGATTGATTTGTGGATGTTGAACCACCCTTGCAGCCCAGGAATAAATCCTACTTGGTTGTTGTCAATAATTCTTTTAATATACTGTTGGATCCTGTTTGCTATTGTCTTGGTGAGAATTTTGGCATCCATGTTCATCAGGAATATTGGTCTATAATTCTTCTTTTTAGTGGGGTCTTTGGTTTTAGATCAAAGTAATATGGCCTCATAGAGTTTGGAAAATTTCCTTCCATTTGTATTTTTTGAAACAGCTTCGGAAGAATAGGTATTAGCTCTTCTTTAAATGTTTGGTAGAATTCCCCTGGGAAGCCATCCGGCTCTGGACTCTTGTTTGTTGGGAGATTTTTGATTACTGCTTAAATTTCCTTGCTGGTTATGGGTCTGTTCAGGTTTTCTGTTTCTTCTTGTTTTAGTTTTGGTAGTTTATTCATCTCTAGGAATGCATCCATTTCTTCCAGATTGCCTTAAGGTCAGAGTACCTTTATAATCTTTCTTATTTCTGTAGAATTGATAGCAATGTCTCCTCTTTCATTTCAGATTTTAGTGGTTTGAATCTTTTGTTTTTTTCCTAGACCATCTAGTTAAAGGTTTAATTTTTTTGATCTTCTCAAAGAACCAACTGCTAGTTTTATTAATTTTTCTCTATTCTGTTTTCTGTTTTGTTTATCTCTGCTGTAATCTTTGTTATATTCCTTCCGTTTGCTTTGGCTTTAGTTTGTTCTTCTTCTAGTTCTTCACATTATAACTTTAATTTGTTAAGTTGAGATCTTTATTTTAAACATGAGTGTTCATAGCTATAAATTTCTCCCTTAGTGCTGCTTTTGCTGCATCCCATAAGTTTTGATGGGATGTTGTTTTCATTCATCCCTACGTATTTTCCAATTTCCCTTTTGATTTCTTCTTTGATCCATTGGTGGTTTAAAAGTGTTATTTAGTTTCCACAATTTTGTGAATTTAAGTTCTCTGTTTCCTTTTGTCTGGTTGTTCTGTCCCTTGTGCATGGATATTGAAGTCTCCAAGTGAAGTCTTCTGTCAGTTTTGTCTTTTATTAGGAGTGCAAATGTTTATAATTGTTAAAATTGCTAAATTGAGCCTTTTATTGATATATAATGTCCTTTCGTGTCTCTTGAAACCTTTAATGTTTTAAAATGTATGTTGTCTCATATTAGCGTAGCCACCCTTGCTCTCTCTTGGTTACTGTTTGCATGATATATGTTTTTCCCTCCTTCCATTTTCTTTCTTTTTTTTTTTTTTGAAGATTTTATTTATTAGAATGAGAGAGAGAGCATGAGAGGGGGGAGGGTCAGAGGGAGAAGGAGACTCCCCGCTGAGCAGGGAGCCTGATGTGGGACTCGATCCCAGGACTCCAGGATCATGACCTGAGCCGAAGGCAGTCGTCCAACCAACTGAGCCACCCAGGCACCCATCCCTCCTTCCATTTTCAACCTTTTTGGGTCTTAGGATCTTAATTGCTTGTAGCCAGCATATAGCTGGATCATGTATTTTTATGCATTTTGACAATCTCTGTCTTTATTGGAGAGTTTAATCTGTTTTCATTTAAAGTAACCATAGATAATGTCTCTATGCTTATGCTGTTTTCTACATGCCTTGTAGTTTTTTGTCCCTCGTTTCTTGCATTACTGTCTTTTAGTTGATTTTTCCATAGTGAAAATTTAACTTCCTTTCTCATTTCCTTTGTGTATATTCTATGTCTGTTTTCTTTGTGGTTACCATGAGGATTATGTTTAACATCATAAAGTTACAATAATTTGAATTTATACTGGTTTAACTTCAGTAACATAAAACTTATCTTCTTTATAGCTGGGTCCCCATATCTTTTAGTTGATGTGACAAAGTTGTCTCTTTATACATTGCATGCCCCAGAACATAAACTAATAATCCTTTTTTCTAAAAAAATTTTTTTTAAAGATTTTATTTGTCAGAGAGAGAGAGAGAGACAGAGCACGCGAGCGCAAGCAGGAGGTGTGGCAGGCAGAGGGAGAAGTAGGCTCCCCACTGCACAAGGAGCCAGATGAGGGACTCAACCCCAGGACCCTGGGATCATGACCCAAGACGAAGGCAGACACTCAACCAACTGAGCTACCTAGGCATCCCTAATGATCCTTTTAAATTCATTAGGGTCCTAAATTAAATAGAAAATAAGACTTGAGTTACAAACCAAAGTTACAGTGATACTGGCTTTTACACTAATAATTGTGTTTTCTTTCCTTAAAATGTATTAGTCTCCTAAATCATGTAGAAAACAGGAAGCACAGTTATAGACCATTGTTAAAGCAATACTCGCTTTTGGGGCACGTGGCTGGCTCAGTTGGTAGAGCATGGGGACTCTTGTTCTCAGGGTTGTGGATTCTAGCCTCATGTTTGGGGGTAGAGATTACTTAAAAAAAAAAAAGTAGCTTTTGTAATTGCCCATGTATTTACTGAAGATCTTTATTTCTCCATATGGCTTTGATTTACTGTATAGTCTCCTTTCATTTCACCTTGCAGGACTTCTTTGAGCACTTCTTGGACGACTGGTCTAGTAGTCATGAACTTCCTCAGCTTTTACCTATTTGGAAATGTCTTAAATTTCTTGCTCACTTTTGAAGGACATTTTTGTTGGATATGGGTTTCTTGGTTGACAGGTTTTTTTCTTTTAGCACTTGGAATGTATTGGTTCACTGTCTTCTGGCCTCCAGTGTTTCTGATGAGATAACCTGCTGGTGATCTTATTGAGGATCCCTTGTACTTGTTGACTCACTTCTCTTGTGGCTTTCAAGATTCTCTGTCTTTGGCTTTTGAAGTTTGATATGTCTCGTGTGAGTCTCATTGAGTTCATCTTACTTGGAATTTGTTGAGCTTTTGTTTCTATTCTTGTCCTTATCAAAGTTGGGAAGTTTGCAACCATTATTTTTTCATATATTTTCTCTGCCCCTTTCTTTTCTCCTTCTGGAATTTTCATGTTGCATGTGTTGGTCCAGTTGATGGTGTCCGATGGGTCTCTGTTCACTTGCTTCAGTCTTTTTTCATTATGTTCCTTAGACTCAATGATTTTCATTGTCCTATCTTAAAGTTTGCTGATTGATTCTTCTACTTGTTCAAATCTGTGTTTGAATCCCTTTGGTGGTTTTTTTCATTGCAGTTACTGTACTTCTCAGCTCCAGAATTTCTTTTTGGTTTCCTTTTAGATTTTTTATCTCTTCATTGATATTTATTGATATTTCCATTTTGTTCATATATTTTCTTTTTTTTTTTTTTAAGATTTTATTTATTTATTTGACAGACATAGCGAGAGAGGGAACACAAGCAGGGGGAGTGGGAGGGGGAGAAGCAGGCTTCCTGCGGAGCAGGGAGCCCGATGCGGGGCTCAATCCCAGGACCCTGGGATCATGACCTGAGCCGAAGGCAGATGCTTAACGACTGAGCCACCCAGGCACCCCCATATGTTGTTTTCTTAACCTTCTCCAGAACTTCCTTTAAGTTATTTGAGTATCTTTTAGGGAGTTATTTTAAAATCTTCGTATGGTAGTTCTGCTATCAGGTCCTTTTCAGGGGCAGTTTCTGTTGATTTATTTTTTCCTTTGGGCCATACTTTCCTGTTTCTTAAACTGCTTTGTGATTTTTTGTTGAACACTGGACATTTGAATCTAAATCAGATTCCCAGGCTTTTCTGGGTTTTGTTATTATTTTTGGATGTGGGGGTGGATTTGATTTTGGATGGTGTCTTCTCTGCTGAGGATCAGCCTGAGGTATAAACCTAAGGTGTTTTAGGTTTATACCTTCTTTTCTGATTCTTTCCCTGGGAATGTGTGGTCAAAATATTCTAATTTTCTCTATATGCAGTTTTTTTTTCTTTAAACTTTTTATTGTTATGTTAATCATTATACATTATATCATTAGTTTTTGATGTAGTGTTCCATGATTCACTGTTTGTGCATAACACCCAGTGCTCCATGCAGAACATGCCCTCTTTAATACCCATCACCAGGCTAACCCATCCCCCCACCCCCTCCCCTCTAGAACCCTCAGTTTGTTTTTCAGAGTCCATCGTCTCTCATGGTTCGTCTTCTATATGCAGTTTTTGTTTGTTTGTTTTGTTTTGTTTTTTAAATATCCTGCTCTTTAATGTCTGGCTCCCAAAAGGGGAAAAAAGCAAAAAATGAAGGGGAGAAAGGGTGCCAGTCCTTTAAGTCCCCTGGAAGTCACGTTAGCCAGAGGGCGAGGAGCTTGTAACAGTAGAGGGAGGCGCAGTAACAATGGCTGCCTGCCTCTTAGTCTGTACCTCTTTGGTCAGAAACTACAATCAGGGATCAGAGCACAGAGCCTGATATTTGTAGGAGAGAGTCCTTTTTGCTGGTACTGGCTCCCCCAGAGTGTGTAAGCTACTCCAGCAACAGGTGCACAGCTGCCTCCATTGTGTCTCGGGTAGGAGATGGGTAATTGCTAATGTGCTGAGAGGTGCAATTGATGTAAATTAACCCCAATTTACTGTCCAAGGCTTACCCCAAAAGTTATAAGCCTTTAACAGACTCCAGAGTTCCAAAACAGTTACATCAGACAAATTCTGCCAGCACAGTTGTCTGTGGGGAAGAGATTCCTGGTGCTTCCTACTCTTGACATTTTCCCAGAATCCTCCTCTTCCTTTTTTAAGGCTAAGTGTGATTTCATTGTACTTATATACCACATTTTGCTTATCCATTATCCATTAATGGACATTTAAGTTTCTTCCACATCTTGGCAATTGTGAGTAATGCTGCAGTGAATGTGGGAGTGCAGAGATCTCCTTGAGATCTTGTTTGTATGACTTTTGACTGAACGTTTTTAAAATCTTAACTTGTAGTAGTTATAATCAATGATCTTAGAGTAACCTCCTGCCGATGGGCCATCCAGAACTTCCAGTGTTGCAGTGTCTCCTCATTCCAGTTTTTTTTTCCATTTTTATAAATTACCTGAGGTGAAGAGATGTCATTTGTTTCATTCTAGGCATGCCAGGCTGCCAAGAAAACAAAAGCAGATGATCGAGGAACAGATGAAAACACTTCGGAGCAGACAATTCTCAATATGATTTCCCAGAGCTCTTCAGACACAACTATTGCAGGTTTAATGAGCATGTCAACTTCTTCTACAAGTGCAGTGCCTTCTCTTCCAGCCACTGAAGAGTCATCCAGCAACGTAAGCAATGTGGAGATGTTGCAGGGCGAGCGTTGGCTGTCCTCCCAACCTCCTTTTAAACTGGAACCTGCTCAGGGTCATCGGACTAGTGAGAATTTAGCACTTATGGGAGTTGATCATTCTTTGCCACAGGATGGTTCGAATGCATTTATTTCCCAGAAGCAGAATAGTAAGAGTGTGCCATCAGCTAAAGTGTCACTGAAAGAATACCGTGCAAAACATGCAGAAGAGTTGGCTGCCCAGAAGAGGCAATTGGAGAACATGGAGGCCAATGTGAAGTCACAATATGCATATGCGGCCCAGAATCTCCTGTCTCACCATGATAGCCATTCTTCGGTCATTCTGAAAATGCCCATAGAGGGCTCAGAAAACCCCGAGCGGCCTTTTCTGGAAAAGGCTGACAAAGCAGCTCTCAAAATGAGGATCCCAGTGGCCAGTGGAGATAAAGCTGCCTCTTCAAAACCAGAGGAGATAAAAATGCGCATTAAAGTCCATGCTGCAGCTGACAAGCACAATTCTGTAGAGGACAGTGTCACAAAGAGCCGAGAGCACAAAGAAAAGCACAAGACTCACCCATCTAATCATCATCATCATCATAATCACCACTCACACAAGCACTCTCACTCACAGCTTCCAGCTGGTACTGGGAACAAACGTCCAGGTGATCCAAAACATAGCCAGACGAGCACCTTGGCACACAAAACCTATAGCTTGTCTAGTTCTTTCTCCTCTTCCAGTTCTACTCGTAAAAGGGGTCCCCCTGAAGAGACTGGAGGGGTAGTGTTTGATCATCCAGCCAAGATTGCCAAGAGTACTAAATCCTCTTCCATAAATTTCTCCTTCCCTCCTCTTCCTTCAATGGCCCAGTTGCCTGGGCATAGCTCAGACACAAGTGGCCTGCCTTTTTCACAGCCCAGCTGTAAAACTCGAGTTCCTCATATGAAACTGGATAAAGGGCCCCCTGGGGCCAATGGTCACAATGCAACTCAGACAATAGACTATCAAGATACTGTGAATATGCTTCACTCCCTTCTCAGTGCCCAGGGTGTTCAGCCCACTCAGCCCCCTGCGTTTGATTTTGTTCATTCCTACGGCGAATATCTGAATCCACGGGCTGGTGGAATGTCCTCCAGATCTGGCAATACAGACAAACCCCGGCTACCACCTCTACCATCAGAACCTCCTCCACCACTTCCACCCCTTCCTAAATAAAAAAGAAAAAGAAGAGGAGAAAAAAAAACTTCCTTAAAAACAACTTTTTTTTTTAACTACTGATTGTGGACTAAGAGAATACTTCCTTTATGAAATACGTCACCCTTCTTGGACTAGGGAATAATTAATATTGACATGCAGGTGGGAGGGTGGTAGAGGGGCTTGGTTATTATATCTACTGCCTCAGAAATTTAACTATTTTATTATAGTTTTTACTGGTATTAGAGAGGTGAGAATGTGTTGAAGCTGTGAAGGATTAAGAATACTTTCTCTGTTCTTGGCCTCTCCACCTCCTAATTAGGTTGATTAGAGTTGATGTCTTCCCTCTTCTTGCCAGGACTGAAATATGGAGGGTTTGTTTTATCAAACAATTGTGGATCCTTTTGGTGTTTAATATATCAGAAGAGAGGAAGTATTTAAACGTCAAAATCTTTTAAGAGACTTTTAAAAAATAATTTAAAGAAAGTAAGTTATCTGTTTAGTTTTTTTTATATCATCGGGGAGGGGATAGGGATTTTGCTGTGTGTATGAGATACATAGCAATGACTCCTGGGGGGTGGGAATGGAGGGTGGGGGGTGTGTAGGGGGGATGGGAGGGTAGGCTTTTGGCCTTGAGTTCTGTCTGATAGGCTTTGGCCACTTGAAGTGTTGAGACCTTTAAGTGTGTACGTAAGTGTGGGTATGTGTGGTTTTAAGTGTGTGTGTTTAAAAATCATGTTTTATCTTTCCCTCCCTGTCCCTCACCATTTTCACTTCCCAACAGTCTACTAGAGAGAACACAGTGTGGCCTTTAGAACATAAAGGAAGGAAGAAGCATGTGTTAGCATGGTATTTTCCCATTTCTTTATGTTGTAATTGAGTGGTAGCCTTCTAAATTCTAGTTGGGGCAAGTGCAGCCAGTGGCCTGATTCTGGACTCCATTATAAAAACTTCCCTCTTACCCCCTTTTTCCTTTTGATGCAGAACAAAGTTGGGGTTGAGGAAGAAGGATTGGAGAGCAAGGCTGGCTTCTGCCCTACAGAATTGGGTGTGTCTTTTTTTCAAGTTGGGCTTTGGGAAAGTGTTCAAGTGAGAGCAATCTCAGGGTCTCTGAGGGGAAGGGGGATGTGTGCTGTATATCCTGCCTCTGAAAGCCCAGACCATATATGAGAATAGTTCTGGGAGAAGCCATGGACCTAGAGGATACTGAAAACAATGAAATTGTGATTGGGTATTTTTAGGATATTGTATTTTAAATTGCATTATGAATGTAAGACTTGCTTTTTATCTGTATATCTGAAGGGAAACAGCTGCATCCTTAATTTTTGCAACCTATATAACTTCAGAGATTGGAGCTTGTGAATTTAACAGTACTGGTGTCATGAGGTGAGCAACCCTAGCCCACAGATGCAGATTGTTCATCTTTGGTGGCTTTAGTTTCTAGACAGAGGTTTTTCAGAAGATTTCTAAGAGTTCCTTAAAAAAAAAAAAAAAAAAAGGATCAGGAGTCCTATTACGGGTTTTTGATTATCCCAGATTTCAGGATAATTGGTGTTCAAGATCCCGACACTCAAAACTCAACACTTTTGTTGAGGAAAGAAATCTGTCAAGGGACTAGAAAGAATTCTAAGCCAGGTTGTCTAACTGAAAATGCCACTAAGCCACAGATCATTTGATATGATATTCTTTGGTCTTCATGGTATTTTTTGCTATGGAAAAGATGATGCAATTTGAATTTGTCTTGTTTTTAATGCAGCTTCCTTTACACCAAATATTCTGTATAGAAAAATTGAATATTTTTCATTGGAAGTCATAGGGAGACAGGAGTTGTACATGTGCTGCTGCTTGCCAGGAACAGGTTGGGGAGAAAACTGAGGCAGTTGGAATTGTTGATGCACTGGCCTAATAATAGGAAGGAATTTGTACAGTAAACCTTAAGGTGAATTAATGTCCTGCATCTCTGCATATTTGAACTGTCTAGAGTGCCTGCCATTGCTGTGTAAAATGAGCTCTCTGCCGACCTATAAACCAGTAATACATAGTTATTTCATTTTCACTGATGGCATTTTCCTCTAGCTCCCTGATATTTTCTGTGTTGTGCTAGGTAATTGGTAGATGTGTGATGTGTTTACTAAATCTAGGCTTTCTATTTGTTTAGATTTTGTTTGGTGGCATCTGCTTTCCTTCCTGACCTTCCCAAAAGTTTATTTAGTTTGGATCTGTATCTTTGTGGAATTGATCACTGATTTGATTATGAAAATGTCTTTTCCAGCGTTCAGTTTTTCTCATCAAATGTCACATATTTTCTAATCATACGCACTCCTTCACCACAGAGGCAGACATATCCACTTGGCCTCAGAGCAGTTCCCCATGGCATCTGTACTTAGTCGCTTAGACCTTTTGTCAGGAGTGAACTAGAAAAAGTGCTTACTAGAGCCTAAGAGCTGCTTTATGCTGTGCAGTCTAGCCTTTGTACCAGTTTCATTGCTGATGTAGGTCAATTTAAAGACTTCTATATTAATGCCTCCTGATGCTGTTTTAAGATATCTACAGTGTCTACAGCTTTTACATCTGTGTATATGTCATGAATGTCCTGTGTGCTCTGCATGAAGCTGCTGCATTTGGGTTAGCAGATATGCCTATCGACTAGCATGCATATTGTTCAAATTACATAAACTTAGGCTTCAAAGGGTTTTGTGGTTTCTAAACTCTGTGTTTTCTCTGTGCTCACCCCTTCACAGGGTGAGAAATGGGATTTATACATCCAAAGTTAGTCTAGTTAAACTTGGCTTTTTTTCTCCTTTTAACCTAGACTATCGAGGATAAGTGGTAAGCAGGCGTGGAGCCTCAAGTTCTTATAAATCTCGTTACTAAAACCTTGCGTGACTCTTCTGTTGGCAAAAACAAACACCTGTGGAATGTCCTTAGGGCTTTTAATCAGATACCTGTGTTGCTGTTGGCTGAATTCTAGTGAAGCATTAATTTAAAGCTAAATTGGTCTTCTGCAATATCAGTTATGCTTTTTGGGTTTAGAAAATATGTAGGAATTAGTCTAAGCTGCTCACTCATCAATCAGTGTGTTTCCATATTGAGACTCTCAGCTTCCTCTTTTTCTTTTCATTTTTTTTTAAATGATTTTGTGTTTTGATTCAATGTATCATTTTTCATAGTTCTGTATTATTGGCTTCACCAGTGTTGATAGAAAAAAAATTAAATCTCCAGTTGGAAACAGCAATGGATTAGGATATAGAAATAAAATCATGGTAACATCAGTGCTGGATTTTCTTAAGCTTCTACTACCTAATTCCCCATGTTAAAAATGCATACCCCTCAGACTTTGCTTCTGGACAAAGGCAGTTAGAGGGGTGTTAGCCCAGTATGGTAGGATTTTAAAAGATCTTTGTTCCCCCACAGAAACACAGGAATTGTGGGAACTTGGGAACAGATTAATATTTTAAAAGGATTATTCTTTTGTAAATGAGTTATTTTGATACTAATGCTAGGAAAAGGATATTCTAGAACATCTTGAAGTTGGAATACAAATATTCTCTTGGGTTTGGGAGAATTTAAGCAGTCTATGCAACCCTTCACATGGCGAGAAATAAGCCCTTTGCGGTCCCAACTAAGCTTTCAGTGACTTTAGTACCTCCCCAGATTTCCCATGTTGCTGCTTGTTAACACCCAGCTTTTAACTGAGTGTTTGCTCCTGATAGTTTAAGAAGTGTTCGTGTTGTATCACACTATCAAGTTTTATTTTGTCTTTTTATCCCTCTGTGGGTGTGAGTTTGAAACAAGCATGGTACTGTAATCCTACCTGATAGAGTGGTCTGGAATGAGAATTACTTTCTAAGTGGGAGACCCTTCCATTTTAATGTTCCTAAACTCTTTAATATGAACTTGGCATTGGAAAAGGGAGGGAAAGAAAATGTTTACTAAAAAGCAGTGTCTGCTCTTCCCCTTTTTGAATGCATATTTATGGTTGAATGAAAAGAGAAAGACTCTTGGGTTTTCCGTTGCCATGTTAAGCATGGAGAGGGATGCTTGACAGCATGCTAATTGAAGCCAGAGCAAGTATGTCTCCATCAGGTTATCAGGAACTCTTCAGTTGAACGCTGAGGACCTAACTGGTTAGTGGTAGATCACATTGGAATTGGTTACAAGATGGAAGTGCTGTCTGGGTTAAGCACCCAAAGAAAAGAATGCAGCAGCCTGACTTAGTGTTAATCTAGGTTTCTGGATTTGAAACCGACCTTTCCCTCACCCTACTCCACACTCCTGCAACTGTCCGTTTTCTTATCAGACCAAAGAGCAAAGAAGAAAAAAAAAGTAAAATACTTTACCAATCTACGTCACTCAGGTACAATTTTGTGGTAATATTTTTGTCTGTTTTCTTTGTATTGCTCTTAAGAGTCCTTTCTCAGCATACTATTCTGCTGTTGCCTCTGTCCTCCTTGGGGCACCTCAGTTCTGGATGCTACCCCTGGGATCTCTACTGCTGTTATGTGATTGATAGGATGTAAGTGACCATTACAGTAAGGGCTCTTTGTAAAAAATTCAAAAACATTTTTAAAAAATTTACAAAAGGATGTTGTATACATTTTATAGTCTGGCTATCAGTTTGATATCTTGCTGTCAAGTATGTTTCTCAATCTGTATTTATCCATCCCATCAATAAATATTAATGATAAAACACTCATCTGATTGTTGTTTATGTGTCCTAAGTCTTCAAGTTAGTCTTTACCTGTCATTTTACTGTTATGGTTACAGTTTTTAGTTTTGGTAGTAGTATGTACTTTCTGACTACACAAGATCCTGTGGGAATTGAGTCCATTGGAAAGACCTAAGGTTTAGTTGTCACAGTGAACCTGGTAGTATAAAGTATGATGTAGTCAGAGGGGAGAAGAAACCCCGCACTCAATATAGCATTCTTGGGGGTGCCTGGAAAAATTGATAGTGAATACTCAACTCTTTTCCTGGAACATACAAAACCACACACACCAGGTAAATCAAGGGAAAGAATTCTTATGCTAAAATACTCCAAACTTATAACACAAAGTTAGCAGAA